ACAACTAGAGACCATACTCATAAGTGAAATAAATCAGACATACTTGTGCAAGCACCACATTGTTTCACTAGTGTAAATCCTGCAAGAGTTAATTTAAAGTAGGAGGTATGATAAACATTGTGAAATGATAGGAATACACTCAAGGGTAAAGGGCAATTGGGATGTGGGAAAAGAGAAGGGAAAGAAGGAGAACTTTTGTATATATGTATATACAGGATAGTTAACATAGTTTTTCTACTATTTTCTATTTCTTTGCTGAAAGAAACTACCAGTGAGTCCTTAATTGATCAATATTACATGTCTCTATCTGTTTTCTTGAGAAACTACTTTGAAGATATCAGTATGTAATACAACAAGCATTGTTAATTTCCTACCACTTTGTAACTCTGTATTGTCTGTACTGTTCTTTTGCTATTTTGTAAAAGGTTGTCTATCTGTTAATGTTTTCCTCCTTTTATTTTTAAAATAAAGAAAGAAAAATTAAACAGTGGAGAAGAGTTCCTTTTCCTCCCAGAGCCCCTCCAGCATTTGCTGTGCGTTGATTCCTTGATGAGAGCCATTCTTTGTGGGGTGAGAGGGAGGCTCAGTGTTGTTTTCATTTGTGTCTCTTTGCTCTTCAGCCTTTTCCGGGGGGCGCTCTGTGGGTGACCCAGGTGAGAGCAGTTCCGGCAGGGATGTTCTCACTGCCTTCCTCCTTCTCAAGCACGAAGACCCCCACACCTGACAGCAGTTCAGAGGTCTTGCTGGAGTCCCAGTTCCACCAGAACCCTGGAGGTAACATTGCCACTCTGGAAGGAAATCTCCTGGAGGTGCTTCCTGTGCATGGCATTCACTGGGTCCAGAGTTTTAAATAAGTGCATTAGCTGCAGTTCTGGAATCCACTTTGTCGTGCAGTGGCTCCCAGGGTGCAGCTTTCGCCCCTAACAGTCAGACCTGCGAACTCTATATTGTTAAAAATATGGTAATAGATGAAGTGCCCTTATTTGCTCAGGCCTAAGGAAAAATACTTAGTGTTAAACAGGAAATGACTGCTTCTTAGTTAAAAAGTGCTAAATACTACTTGAAATTATTGTTTACAGACTAGTGACAAGGGCTGGTGATGGGATCCGGTTGGACTCTGCTCTTCAGCTGCCTTCTTACATTCACTGCCTCTACTTCCACACTCAGTCCCAACAATCAGCTATTTTTCCAACATGCCAGCAAAAATAGTCTGTTTTTTTGTATGTGATTTCTGCTTTTGCAGACTTGTTTTAAAGTAAAAAAAATTTTTGTAAAAAACAAAAAAAACAAGCAAACAACACTATCTACCTTCCTAAAATTGTAGAAAATAGAGCCTTTTAACAAACAGTGCTGGCAAAACTGTGTATCCACATGCAAAAGATTAAAACTAGATCCCTACCACTCTACATTAAAAGTAAATCAAAATGGACCAAAGCCCTAGGTGTAAAAACCAGAAATGTTGAAACTACTGGCTTGTAGGGAAGCACTTGAAGGCATAGGCTCTAGTGAAATTTCCTGAACAGAACTCTAATAGCATAGGAAATAATACTGAAAAGCAACAAATAAGATTACAATATGTCACATTAAAAAGATTCTGTAAAGTATAGGAAACAATCAAAGGAATGAAAAGGCAACAAGGTAGGAAGGAAAAAAAATTGCTAGCTACTTTTCTGAATCAGGATTATTATCTAGAATCTATGAAGAACCAAAAAAAATGAACACCCAGAAGAACAAATGACCCATTCAAAAATGAGTAAATGAACTAAGTAGGCACTTTGTTGAAAAATTACAAATACAAAGAAATAGAGTAGAAAAAATGTCCAGCACCTTTAGCCATTAGGAAAAGGCAAAACAACTCTGAGATTCCAGTTTACTCCAGGCAAATAGTAATCATCAAGAACATAGAAAAACAACAAGTGTTGGTGAATATCTGGGGAGGGTGGACACTCCTACAGTGTTGGTTGGAAGACACAAAAGAAGTAATTTCAATGAATTAAATATAGAAAGTCAATGAATTTCTATATTTCTATATTTCAAAGTCAATGAAATTCTAAATATAGAATTTCAATGAATTAAATATAGAAAGTCCGTTTAGCCTAGGTATACCTCTCCTGTTTATATTTCTGAAAGAATTAAAGACATGATGCTGTAGTGATATGTAATTGTCTGTAGCAGCACCATTTATGAGTAAGGTCTGGGAATAGGTTAGATGCCTGTCAACAGATGAATGGATGAAAAGTATGACATGTATACACAATGAAATATTATTCACCCATGAAAGAGAATGAAATCATGTCATTTGCAGGAAAAATGGATGGAACTTGAGACCATAGTGCTAAGTGAAATAGGTACAGAACATTAAACATCAAGAGTCTTTTATGTGAGAACCTGAGATATACATGAACGAGCATGAGAAAAATGGTAGGAAGCAAGGAAGTAGATGTTTTGCAAATGGAAAGAGGACCAGGGTAAAGTAAGGATGTGAGATACAAAGATGAAAAATGATCAAGATACATGCATGTATATGCAAGTTATATGCATGTGCCAGTTTCCCAAAGTGAACATGAGTATTATGTATTCCAAACACACACTTATTAAAAGAAGAGTCCAAACTAAAAAACCAAACACACATTTGCACCACTGTTTGGTCCATTTGTGAAATCCGCAGGCGATGCTTTACAATTCTTGCACGTAAGCAAACGCTCTCATGTAATTATCCCTAATGAAGGCAGTTTCTGCCCTCCTGCTCACTATCCTCTGGGTCTCTGGGTCTCTGGGTCACTACTGTCCAGTGACATCAAAGCCCTAATTAATTTCTTAACACCGTGATGGGCTTTCTTATATCTCTGTATTACAGATATTGACATTCTGAAATTTGAAGGGTGAAGACAAAATTCTAGAAAGGCCTGAGTTTCCTGCTTTTGTCCCCAGTACAATCGTTCCAGAAGAATTTTGTTTTTCCCAGTAGAAGCCGATATTGTTAAGCAAAGGACAGGACAGTGCTGCTTTCCAGAGCAGTGAGATGAGAATAACTCAGATGGTAGTATTTTCCTAGAGCAAATGAGTGAATATTTTATACTTAAGCTGAAACAGAGACCAGGAGATATTTTTTAAATGTGACTATTAACCTTAGTGATATATGATTGTTTTTAATTTCTAGAAGTTTCTGAAAGTTATTTGTGATTGTCTAATTTACTGCTATTGTTAACAGAAGTAATGTAGTTACAATTAGGTTAAACTCTGCAAAATTATGAAACAGAATATTTGCTTGCAAAACATTTTATTTCTTTTTTTTAATCTACTTCCGTCTCTCTCTCAGATTCCTGACTACTGCAACAGCTCTCTCAACTACTTTGGACTTGGATTAAGATTCGGCATCCAGTCCTATCTCATCTTCTTGAAAACAGCTCATCTTCTGAACAAATACTTTAAGTCTATTTTCCTTTGTAAAAGTTGAACTTTATGACTTATCTCCACAAAGCTACATAGGAGATGTGCAGGAACTAAATCCTTCTCAAGCATTAATGACTATAGATTGTAAGATATCTCCATAATTTCTATTTTACTTTAGGTAAGTAAAAATATTTTGTTGGTATTATTTGAAGACTATAGACCAGTATTTATCTTCAATATACTGATAACAGTGACTCTCATATCTCTGATGTGGATTTGAGGAGGCAAGACATGGTGAGTGGCAATGATCAAAAGCTTGTCAGGGATGCATCTTTAACATAGTGGGGTTTGGTGGCACCTGCCTACTATACTTTTTGTTTACTTCACTTCCTCTGTCAGCTGTAATATCTGAGTTATAAGCATTTAGGAGATATCCTTGATAGAATGTCATAAGGGAGGTGCCTGAGAATCACACAGTGAAATCTTATAAGCATGCATTATTTCATCTTCAAATATTACAAGAAATGAAAAGGCTGTGTTTAAATGAATATTAGATTTATTCTTATATGGATCAGAGTGCATCATTTAAAATTATCAGAAAAATACTTATTCTAAAATAAGTAAAATAAGACATTATTAACAATGTCAAATGTATTTATTACAATTGATTACAGAGTTCTTATCTACATAGTCTTTTAAAATCTTTTTAGTGTCTCTTTGAGAGTAGTAGTGTAAATATTTTATGATGACAAGCTCCTTCAGGAGGTGTTCAGTGTTATAAACATGTACAATAATATCACCATTTTAACTGTGATGTTTTTATTCTAATAGCTTTGTTTTTCCTATATTACAGTGATTTGGGGAA